GGATGCCGCTCCTGCTTCCAGGCTTGATTTACTGATATTTAATTCTCCAGGAACTTTCTTAGCTGTAACCACTGGATTTGCCTTTGCATTAAGACTTGTATTTATGAAAAAGTCTCCTTTCTGCTTGTAGGTCTGGCCCAAGGCTGCCTGACATTTTAACTGGCTTGCTCTCTCTCACCCACACATACAATCACTGCTTAGTCATTTCAACAAGAGAAGGGAAGCTTTGATGGCAAGAAGACAAAATAGTTTACATATTTTGGTATATACTACACTTTCTTCCACATAGTCGGCCAGGAATTCAGTCTGTGCACTGCTGATACCCCAAACCCTCCCCACCCATGCAGGACAACAACAGAGAGCCACAGAATTTTCTGTTCCTTGGTCCACCATGGATTCGCAGTTACATTTCCTTCACAGAACACTGGAGAATAGGAAAATTCCAAGTTAAAACCAAATGACAAGCAAATAAAAGGTCTCTATTTAAAGTAAAACAATCCTTCAGAAGAGGGAGGCAAAGCGGAAATCAACTTGTCTACCACATTTTGTATATAAACACAATTCTGTATCTCTGACACTTCTATACAGAAGAATCCTCTCTGATATGGATTAAATTGTTTTCTACTTCCCCAGCATGTATTGGAATCTTATGCCCTATAGCTGTGGATTCAATTCTATTTGAAGATAAAGCTTCTCTGGTTATGTTTATACACAAGGAAATGTTCTAACATCTTAAAATACTATCCTTTCTCAGCTGTAAATGGAGCTGATTAGACAGAGTGAAAAGCAGACCCAGGAGAAGACAGAGGCACATAATGCTTGCCATGGAACCAAAGGAAAAGACATCATGCTTGGAAAGGTGGAAGGGCAGAGAAAGAAAGGAAGACCCTGAACAAGGTGACTGACATATTGACTGCAACAATGGACTCAAGCGTATCAGATCATGACAATGGCACAGGATAGGGCGAGGCTTAGATCCACTCTTCGTATAGTTCCTGTGAGCTGTAATTGACTCAGTGGAATCCAAAAGCAACAATAAGAAATATCCACGACTATCCACAAGTCAAGAGTTGGCACGGTCAAGATTCTGATTTAGATTTTCAGTATCCAGAACCATAAGAAAATTCTGTTGTTTAAAGACACACCTACTTGTGGTATTTCTTTCCATCAACACTAAGACTCTCCATACCAGATAAGATCTGAATTCCTATATACTTTTTAACCTCCTCATTACATAAAAGGTAGCAATAGTGGTGTAATGGATAATGCATCATGCTGCTAACTAAAAGTTTAGCAGTTCAAATCTACCTGTGGCTCTGTGCGAGAGAGATGGGCAGTCTCCTTCCATAAAGATTTATAGCCTCGGAGACCCAATAAAGGGGTTACCATGAGTCCAGTGGCAGTGGGTATGATATAAAGAACAGTGTGTGTGTTTGATATGTGATGCTGTCCTGATGATTAATGACTATATTAAGAGAAAGAATGATAAGGTAATTCATAATCCAAACACCCACTAAACCATGAGGCATCTCTTTAAGCTTCTTTTGTCTGCGTAGGTCCTATATCTCTAACTCCCCTTACAAAGCTGTTTCTATTTACAAATGACCGCTCCTCTCCCTGTGGTAATCAGGTGGCATTAGCCATACATCTCTGTGTTTCATTCCTTACATGCTCTTCAAATGGCTTACGCTGAGCAGAGGGCACCTGCCATCAGAAACAACTCTTGTAGCATTCTTCATTACTAGTAATTACTTCTTAATGAAATGAGGCAAAGGCAGTGCAATACGATCTCCATTCAATCTCTTCCTGCAAACAGATAGCCCTTTTGGGGCCAACCTGCATCTCGCTTCCCCGTTCTCTCTAGAAAGCTTGTTTCTTTCAAGGTCCGTGTATTACAACTTTCAGGTTCCACTGTCATCAAGGTCAAAAGGTCTCAATCTCCTGCCACACATTTCGATGGCCTGGATCAGGGTCACAGTCCCGACCACTGCCAAATAACAGAAGATAAACTGACCATCTGCTTCAAGAGAGCAGCAGCTCTGTGGTCTTTTTCATTATTTGGTTGTTAGGTGCCATCAGTTAACTATGACTCATATGGCTCAGAGTTATTGTTAGGTGCCATTGAGTTGAATATAACTCATAGCGACCCTATGAGCAACAGATCTGAGCCCTGTCCTGTCCCATGCCAAGCCAATGATCTCTAGCACACTCAAGCCCATTGCTGTAGTCACTGTGTCAACCGACTGGCTGAGGGCGTTCCTCTCCTGTGCTGTCCCCCCACATTTCCAAGCATGATGTCCTTCTCCAAGGAATTGCCTTTCCAGGAATGTGCCCAAAGAATGCGAGACAAAGCTTCATCATCTGTGCCTCCAAGGAACACTCTGGATGCACCTTCTCCAAGATGTGTCTATTTGTTATTTTGATACTCTGTTGTTGTTGCTGTTGTGTACCATCAAGTTGGAATCAAGCTATAGCTGACCCTCCAGCGGGTTTTAAGATGAAGTTAATTGCACAAGAGATTGCCCACCCTTCTCCTGCGGAGCAGCTGAAGGCCTTGAAACTTTTTCTTTTTTTGAAAGCCTTCAGGATTGCAGTGTAGCTTCTTGTAATAGGCCGCTAGAGCAACCCAGTAGTCCATAGCAGATAGCAGTAATTTAAATGTAATGAATGCAATCAAGGAAGTAAGCAAATCTTAGAGCTAGAGGAATCTAGTATAGCTTACCACACTAGTGTCAGACACTGGATTCTTCAACAAGGGAAGCACAAGACTGCAGAAAGCGCAATTATAGAGTAAAACCCTCTAAATTCCCTTACAGAAGATGTACATGGGGAGGCAACTTTTTTTTTTTTAATGTAACCTTTTTATATCATGGCTCTTGTTCACCGTGAGATTGGCCCAGGAGAGAGCAGGGTTCAGAGCTACCATGCATAGGGTTGCTATTTGTCATAGATTACTCAATGGCATATAATAACTACAACAACTTGGTGGTGAGTTGCATATTGGGAGGGTAGTAGTTTTCTTTTTGGGGTGCCGTCTTATGGTGGCATGGTTTACAAATATTACCCTGTTCACTGCAATAGCCCTTCAAGACAGCAACGAGTTTTACGATAAAAAAATTACTTGCAGAGAGGTTAAGCAGCTCCTGTACACCTATTTAAGTTTAGAGTCTAGTATCCAAACTGGATTCTAAGTCTCAGTTCTTTTCTCTACTCAGGCTACGCCAGGTAAGTAATATGTTAAACCCCTTGCTTACCTTGAATTGACTGACTGGGGAAAATAACTGAGAAGTCTATCTGAATGCTGCATCTTCAACTTACAAAGACCAACAATAATAATAGCATTTAAACCCAATGACACATGGTTTGAATCCACCAGATGCTCTGTAGGAGAAGGCTGGGTAATCTACTGTGTGGCTAACTGCCTCTGAAAACCCACTGGAGGGTCAGCTATGGGTCACTACAGACTTGATGGTACACAACCACCACCACCATCATTATTAGTATCAAACTCACCCAATAACTGGACCTGTAACATCTAATGGAGATTATTGTTGTTGTGAGCTGCCATTGTGTCAAGAATGACTCATAGCAACCCTATGAAGAAAAGATCTGAACCTATTCCTGTCCTGCACCCTCATATTTGCTGACACACAAGAGACCACTGTAGCAGTCACCATATTAATCCACCTGGTTGAGGGTCTTCCTCTTTTGCCGACCCTCTATCCTTCCCAACATCATGCCCCTCTCCAAGGAATAGCACCTCCTAGCAGTATGTCCAAAGTATGTGAGGCAAAGCCTCATCATTCTTGTCTCCAAAGAGCACTCCGGCTGCATCCTCTCCAAGACATATCTATTGACCATGCATGGAGATGTTTAGTGGTCTTCTCCATCACCACAGCTAAAGGCATCAATTCTTTTTCTGTCTTCCTTTTTTATTGTCCAGGTCTTGGATGCATATCTGGTAATCAGAAAGGCCATGGTGTGAATCAGACACACTTTAGTCCTCAAACTGACATCACTACTCCTCAATAATTTGGAAAGGTCCCTAACTGCACATTTTCCCCTGCAATGCACCTCCTTATTTCCTGACTGCTTGTACCAAGGGTGTTAACTATGGATCCAAGAAAGATGAAACTGTTGACAGTTTTAATTTACTCTCCATGCATCATGACACCGCCTATTGGTCCAGTGGTAAAAATCTTTGTTTTCTTGATACAGAGAAACAATTGGTACTGAAAGTTGCATTCCTTGATCTTCTGCAGTAAGTGCTTCAAGTTCTCCTTGCCTTCAGCAAGCAAGGTTGTGGCATCTGCATAATGCAGGTTTTTGATGAGTCTCCCTCCAGAAATCGAGATTAAATAACTGAAATTTAAGTTAAAATGCTGACTAACTTATCAAAACCTCTAGTTGCTGGTTCCTAAAATGGTAATCTTTGAGGAAGAAACTCTGGCACCATAGTGTATAAGAAACATTGTCAGACTACAAGCCAGGAAGTTGGCAGTTCAGGTCCACCAGCTGCTTCATGGAAGAAAGAGGTGAATCCTGTAAAGGTTTCTAGACTTGGCAACTTGATGGAAGGTCACTGTGAGTTGAAGTCCATGGAACTTGGTCTTGGTTTTAGAATCTTTATGGAAGCACAATTGCCCATTTTCTCCCACTGAGCAGCTGGTGGATTCTGACTATTGACTTTGGTTGATACTTATCACACACTATGCCATCAGGGCTCTTTCCTGATCCTATAGATTGCTAGAATTAAATCAATGTGCTATTTACACATAAGAAGATTTACAAATAGGAATGGTCAGCCCATTTTAAGAGGCATAAACTCAGCAGTCATTTTCCAAGAGACTATAACAACTGAAACAAAAATAAAGCCAATAACACTAAGACAGAATAAATGATCCTCATTTTCCCCTCACACAGCTCAAAGATATTTATCATACAAGGCACTCGTATTTCCTGAAAACCCACATAAGCATGCATATAAATGGCACTCTTACCCTTGTTTTGGCGTCAATTTTAGCTCCCCGATCAAGCAACAGTTTCACCATATTGGCATTTCCTCTTTTTGATGCAACATGCAAAGGAGTGATGTCATTCTGTGGAAGAACAGAAAGAACAGTACAGTTTTGGTATTCTCAGTTTTACCAAAATTTTGCTTCCTACACCTCCCACGGCACACCCCACTTGTGCTTCTTCTTAGGAAGGGATGCTTTCCAACATTTCTCGCTGCTGGGGTGTTTTTCTTTAGAAGGAGACTTAAAAGAAGAATGTTAAGGGAAATGATCTGAAGGGTGAGGGCCAAGGAGGATTATTTCATTTGCCTGAGGTAAGTCAGAGACAGAATGAGGACTCCTTTGGCATGTTTTGGCCTATTTTCTCCCACTGAGCAGCTGGTGTATTCTGACCATTGACTCTGGTTGACCCTTAACAATGACACACTGTGCTGTCAGGGCTCTTTCCTGATCCTATAGATATCGTGCTATCAATGTGCTATTTACACATAAGAAGATGTACATGTAGGAATGGGTAGTCCATTCTAAGAGGCATAAATTCAGCAGTTGATATAGACATCTAACTTCTTTATGCCAGGGCATTTTCTTACCACTGGTCAATGAGTGGTTGACTAGCAAATGGCTTATTAAGTCAGCCAAGGCTCAATCAATGTTGCCTCACCCAGAGCCAGCTTACTAAATTCAGTCTGTGCACTAGGTTGTGATAATGAAACCCAAGCGACTCAAACTCAGAGATCAAGAAATCCTCTACACCCATTGGACTTAAATGTTTATCTGTGGAAATTTATTAGCAGTCTCACAGAAAATAGAATAATTTTTTAAAATAATTTTTAAAAAATAATATAACTGGGACAATGAGATTAGATGCATCGGTGTCAGCTGGACTGGCTCAGGATAGGTCAGGGTTCAGAGCTGTTGTACATAGAATCGCTATGAGTCACGGGCTACTCAATAGCACATAACCACCACAACAATCACTCTCAAGGTACAGTCATTTGTTCAGGAAATTTTAAAATTCTTGTCATGTTCTATTTTTTTCCCTAAGGTCATCTTCTATAATAACATCCAAGCATTTTATCGGGGTTAGGAATATTTCCCAAATGTAAGAAATATTGTTCATCTACCGAAAAAGTTTTCACTTTGGTGTCTTATTCCTACAAAGCAGTAATATGGGCTTAAATGTCATGGTTCCTAAAAGGCAATTCGATAATAAATGCTGTAGGCTCCTAAGACTTCTAGTTTTCCTAGGTTGATAACAGAGGCAGCATAATAGCTAAGCATTTCACTTACATTTTTTCACCAAGCCATCCACAATCTGAATCAAACCAAACCCTAATACCGTTGAGCTGGTCTGACTCATGGGAACCTCATGGTGCATCAAAGCAGAACTCTGCTCTATAGGGTTTTATTTTCTCTTTAAATTTCATTTCAAATACACAAAACAAAAAAAAAATACACAAATCCAACAGTTTATACCAGTTAGAGGTACTTACTGTGTTTTGCATTCACTGTCCTTCTCCTTTTCTGAGTTGTGTTTTCATTAAAGAAATTCATCACCCCCAAGAACTCCTATATGCCCCTACAATTTCTGTTGCATGTTTGATTTAACATAGATCTTAAAGGAGTACAGTGTTCAAGCCTGGCCTTTTAAACTAGTTAACAGAGCTCTGATGGGCTATTTCGTATTAAGTCATACTGCTAACTCAAAGGCCACTAAGTCTTTGGTATTTCAAATCCACCAATGGAATAGTGGGCAAAATCTACACAGTCCCTTCTTGTTATGATTTACAGCCTTAAAACTCCAATGAATGGTTGCTATGAGTTGGAATCAACCCAGTGGCACTGATTATACATTTATTGTTTGAGTTTAAGAATTCACAGATTACTTTTGGTTTAAGGCTTAAAGATTACCTAAAGGCAATAGTTTCAGGGAAATCACTCATCCATTGTAGCTTCAGAAACTTAAATTCCATTAAACTGAAATATTCTGTTCTGTATTTTCTAGCTTTTGACCAAGATTACCCTTTGGATTCTTTGAGTAAAGTACTCAGTAATGGCAGCTGGGCGCCACCAAGTTCTTCTGAACTCATGGCAAAGGACGCACAGATTTGAATTATTTCTCTTATTCCTAACTCTGTTTCTTCATTGTTCCTTAGGGTTTTTAATGGCTGTTTTTTTTCCAAAGTAGATCTCTTGGCCTTTCTACCAAGGGATCTCTGGATGAACTCAACCCTCCAATCCTCTGGTTAGCAGCTGAATTCATTAACCATCTGCACCACTCAGGGATTTTACAACTGAATTACAGTTCCCATTTTTGGCCAGGAGTCCAGCTAAACTTGGACCCCTCAGTTCATGGGCTTCTTTCCCCTTTCATTATTTTAAAATAAAATTTTAAACATACACAAAGTTTGAGAGAAAATAATAAAAATCTTCTTGTACTCATTATCCTGCTTCAATATTTGCTAAGATTTATTTTACTGATTTTTATTTTTATTCATTCTCTGTGATGAAGTAGCTTAAAGAAAATTTCACACATCATATTATTTGACCCACAAATACAGATAAATACCTCTAATAGAGAAAAGTTTTGAAAAATAACCACAATACCATCATTACAGTGTGTGTGGGGGGAAATGCCTTAATTTTATCTATGTTTGAATTCTTCTTTTATCTCTAGTTATCTCAGTTGGTTGGTTCAAATTATAAAATCCACCTCAGGGGCTTAAATCAATATTCCTTAAGCTTCTTTATCCTCTATAACTCACATATCTTCTTTCCCCTCATGTCCCTTTATTTATTGACAAAATGGGGAATTTAATGTGTATAATTTTCCACATTCTCAATTTAGCTGATTTCATCCTGATGAGTTATGCTTTTCCACTATATTTTCTATAATCTCTTTTTGTTAAATGCTTTTAACCATTATACATGCTCTCCTCTCAAGAATTCTTTACTTTCATTTCTTATGTGCTAAAGCAGAAAATCAATAGGTAAGTAAATGAAAGAAGAGAAAGACCTGAGAGAAACGATTTGTCTTAGTAATGCAAGTGAAGGATGGTCTAGATCAATGATATCATAGGCTTAGGCCAGGGACAGTCATTTGTTTTGCCCTGCAAATGGCAAGAGAGCAGATATTTTCAACTTCACAGGTGATGCAGTATCTATTGCAACTACTCAGCTCTGTCACTATAACCCCAAAGCAGCCACACACATCTGTAAAGAAGTGGGTCTTGTGTTCCAATACAACTTTATTTTACACAGAAGAAAGAGAATAGAGTTGGATTGCAGGCCTAAGTTTGCTGGCTCCTGCTTTGTTTTTGTCTGTTGTTATGTGCTGTCGAGTTGCTCTGACTCATCGTGACCCTATGTACAAAAGCTCTGAAACCTGCTCTATATTTCATTGTCTCTGACACACATACCCCCACTTCCCCAGTCACTGAGTCAATCTATCTCATTGAGGGTCTTCCTCTTTTATGCTGTCCCTCTGGTCCCTCCTGGCAACAGACTCAAAGTATATCAGATGGAGCTTTAAAATCCTTGCCTCCAAGAAGCAGCCTGGTTTTACTTACCCTTTCCAGGATGGACCTGTTGTTTTCTTAGTCCATTCAATACTATTCTCCAGCACCACAACTCAAAAACATTGATTTTTATTCTATCATTCTTAGTCATTGCTCAGCTCTCTAATTCATAGCAAGTAATTGTGAAGACCATGGCCTGGATCAGGCACACCTTAGTCTTCTAGACTGACATCACTGCTCTTCAGTATTTTGGAGAGGCCCCTGACAGTATATTTTTCCAATACAATTCGTCTTTGACCCCTGTTTTAGACATACCTAAAAGGCCTGAAGGTTTTAATCACTTATAACAAGTTATGAGACAGCAAGTGACACATTTTTCAGTGCCTTGTGTGTGCTTTATTTCTCTGTGATGTGGCCTTTCTTTGATGTAATTAAATATTAGCAGAAGAAAATAAATTACCTGACTGGCAAAGGAAGCTTGTTGGCACAGTGGCTAAAGAATTTGGCTGCTAACTAATATTATTGGCTTTTATTTATTCTTCTAAATTTTTCCTGCATATTGCAGTTCAAGTCTACCAGCTGCTTCATGAGAGAAAGATGAGTAATCTATTCCCATGCCTCTGAAAACCTGCTAGAGGGTCAGCTACGGGTTGGTTCTGACATGATGGCATGCAGTAACAACAACAACAACAACAACAACAACAAACATTTCTTTTCTGAAGAGTGGAAACCTAAGCAGCAGAGTAGATTTATTCTAAATCTGAGCCGGAAGGAGGATCAAGTTAGGGTATCTGATAGATTTGAACTGCACGCCTTTGGGATTGTGGCACAGCTTCTTACCACTTATGCTACCAGAACTCTCTTTTAAGATATTCCTGTGGGGATCTGAGGATATCCCTATAAGTCAGTAAATTAGGGGGTAAAATATGAATTTAAAAGAAAAGGTTTGACCTTCAACTTTTAGAAAAAGTTAGCTAAGATCTCTCTGTATTTTTTATACATGTAGTATGTTTTTATTTTCTGTCAAGTCAGACCAACTTACAGCTATTTTGAGAGGCTATAAATTGCAGGGGAGGAGATTGTCTATCTTTCTCCTGTGAAGTAGCGGGTGGATTCAAACTGAGTGCATTTGGGTTGACACTACAACTCTTTACTTTACCACTAGGTCACCAGAGCTTCCTATACATTCAGTATATTCCTTCCTATTCCATCACTGTTGTCTATAGTGGTGTATATTGCACTGTATTGCGTTATATGTTATACAATGATCACTATTTAGAACAAAGTCTTCTAACTTTAGAAATAAAGATTCATGTCATTGTACTACCTAACATAAAACTGGCTTCAATAGGTGGAATTTTTTTGTTTGGTTTTGGATTATTTTAATTTATAATAAATTTGTTGTCATTAGGTTCTGCTGGGTCAAGCATAACTCAAAGAATTTAGAACAACAACAAGGAGTGGTGTGTGTTTTCTAGTAAACACTGTTGTTGTTGTTGTTGTTGTGGTGGTGGTGTACCATTGAGATGGAACCAATTGCCCATCCTTCTCCTACAGAGCAGCTGG